GCACAGGCCGTGCCAGGCCGCGTGTAGGCCGCCCATAGGCCACGTACAGGTCGCGCCAGGCCAGCCAGACCGGTGCCCGGGGTGACACCAACTCGATAAATTATTGTCTGGATACTTGCYTAATTGTCACGAGGTGCCACGTGTCGCAATTTCACTAGAGGGCCAAATCTGCCCTCATCAGTAGTGAATGCTTAGTTTTGAACCATTTGTGCCCAAGTTACAGGAGCGTAGTAGAGTGAGAGAGGGGAAGAGAGAGGAAGACATGAAGAGAGGAAGAGAAGGAGAGAGGGCGGTAGAGAGATCAAATGACCCTTTTTTCTTAAACAAGGTAATTATGGTCTTTACGTGTTTAAGGGCAGTTTCAAAATAAAAAAGTATATAAGTAGGTGACAGGGAAACCATGTTGGATTGCCACCTCATGGTCATAATAGAAGGCATTCTTTATATGTCTTTCTCGGTTATGCTAGCTGGATTTCATAATTATGAATTGAGCCCACCCGTACTTTTCCCTAGTTTAATTAATTGTAAATGACTAAAACCTCCCTTTAAATGTTTGACTATTGCTAAAACCTCTCATATAGTTTAGTAATTGCAATTAGGAAAAAATGAAAAACCAAATCGATCGAAACCGAACCGAAAATTCGGTTAGGTTAATTGATTTTTCGGTTTGGTGTTTTAAAAAATCGAAGGTATCGATTCGGATTTGGTTAACCAATATAAAAAATCGGTAATTAATTGAACCAATCAGTATACATATATTTCTATATATTATATATAGTTAAAATTTTTTATATATTATAAATTAATAATATGCATTATATATTTATAATATATGATATATTATTTATTATTTAAAATATAATATTATATATATTTATAACTTTTTATTATATATTTATATATTGTAAAGATAAAAAAATTGAAAAACTGATGGTTAACCGAATTGGTCAACTGGTTAACCGATTGATTTCGGTTACCGATTTTCCAAAAACCAGTAGTATTGGTTTGGTTACTAATAAAGGCCCACGGTTTGGTTAAACGAATTGCAATCACCTCCCCTGAACTTTTTGACATAGTTGCAAGTAGACCCCTTATGTTAGAATCCTCTAACAAGAGGCATGAAAATGTCTAAAATACCCATATAGTTACTATTGGGGCTGGTTTTATAGAAAAACTATACAAACTTTATAAGCAAAAAAAAAAAAAAGAATTTAAGGTTATAGCTTTGCCTTTGAGCGATTAACATGAAGGCAAATTTGGAAAACAAATCAATTTTAGAAAAGAGATTGGAAGGGTTTATGATAGAGATTTATATAAAGAGAAAATTTGGAAAATAAACATTTTTATCAAAAGTAAAATAATTACATTGAGTATTTTGGATATTTTTTATGCATTTTTTTGAGGATTCTAAGAAAGGAGGTTTGCTTGCGATTAATTAATTCAGATTGGCACCCATAGGTGACGGGATCTGCTCCTCACAAATGGGTGCCTCATAGACACATCCACTATGCATTGGGAACATCTCCGATGAATAATAACTAATAAGTACGGGAGATGTTCCCAATTAGACATGTTCATGGGCTGAGCCGGGCCGGGCTTTCACTTTGTATTAACAGATTTTTCTAAGGCCCGAGCCCAAAATTTAGCCCATGCTGTTACTACTGCTGAAGCGGCTGAATAGAGAGAGAGAGAGAGAGAGAGAGAGAGAAATTATAAAGAAAAAAATAAAAAATGTATAYATTAAATTATAAATATATATATTTCAATAAATATTATATTATTTATATATTTTATATAACATATAAAATACACATTATGTATTTTATAAAATATATAATGCTGAATCGGGATGGGCCGGGCTTTTTTGACAAATCTTGAGCCCGGCCCGAAATATAGTCGGGCTTACTGTGTTATGCCCGAGGTCAGACCCGTATGCTTAATTACATGACCAAGCCCAACCAGGGTGTAGGCCGGGCCGGGCCATCGGGCTACCCGACTCATGAACATGTCTATTCCCAATGCATGATAGGATATGCGTGTGAGGCGTCGGGTGTGAGAACTAGATCCGGTGAAGGCTCTCGCCCCATAAAGCACATCCCACATGCATTCGCAACATCTCCCATGTGAAGGCTCTGGGGCACGTGTGAAGCACACTCCGGTGCTGATGCGAATTCACTTGCAACCATGTGAGAAAGTTTAGAAAAGGTGATTATGATTGCCAAAATATAGGGGAGATTTCAACAACAATCAGAAACTTCAGGGAGGTTTCAGCCATTTACCCTACAATCGATAATCTGGTTGACACCTTTTTGCTCCAACGTGGATTTGATGTACTATTGATTCGCAAAGTGATCGCACTGGCTCCTCACCTACGCCCCACAAAAAATCGCAACCGTGCACTGGAAACTTCTCCGCACTCATGCACGCTGAGAAATCTGTGGGGCGCTTTGTGGGGAGCCAATCCCAATGGTATGATTGTGCCCAAATTAACAATGCACTGCGGGCAGTAACCAGTAAATTCCTTGCCGCCTTACCGACCTTACGCAGCTTAAAAGAATCTCACCGGATCCTAGGCCAGTTAACTCCTGTTTGGTGTCGTGTCGTCTCGTTTGCACGACTCTGCGATTCCGAAGAAATCCGGTGAGACTCTATTACATCTTTTCTCTTTTCCATCGGGGAAACGGAACAAGGGCTGCAGGTTGGAGATGGAAACGTAAATAGGTCGTTATCAGAACAGTCAAACACTGGACGGCACATAGTCGAAGCACGGGATGACATCCCACACCCACAAGTCACTGTCGTCACATAAGGCTCGCACAGCGATGTGGTGGTGAAGATAACGAAGCAATCCGGCTCTTCCTCAAAATAATCCAGCGTCAGCTTCGCAATTCACAAGAAATACAGAAATACAGGTCTCCTGGGATTCTGCTTGTAAGGAACAGTAGGAAATGTCGATGAGAGATTTAGTTTCGGGAGGAGCGGCTTGTGCTGTTCCTGGCTCTGCTTCTACTTCGAACCCTCTGGGAGCTCTTGCAAATACTCTGCTTGGATCTTCTTCAAAAACTCAGGTCTGTGTTTTTCCTTTTCGTGAATTCAATTCTATCATTTACCCAAACACTGGAGCTCGTTTTGGCTGCTTTTTGGGTTTATTGTAGTTTATCACGTTTCTTCTAGAGAGATAGAATATTTGTTTTGCTCTTGTAAATCCTGTCCATACCTTTCAATCATCATACTTTAAAAAGTTGTATGATTCTATCGTACAAAAACAGAAAATATTTATATTTTTTGATTGGTAACTGTGATTGATTTTATTTGATTCAGTAAAAGAATGCTATATTCAGTGTGTGTTACATCCAATTGTATGTAGGCTAGAAACACCTATCCCTTAATTGTTAATATTTGCATTGCGGCTGAAAACAAAATTTCCCTATTGACCCCTTGTTTAGCTAAGAAATTAGCTAAACCATTTGTCAATCTGCCCACCCACTTGAAAGTTGCTTCCTTCTCCCTTGCTAAACAAAGTATTTCCCTTAATGTTTGCCTTTAACCCCAAGGTGCCTGCTTGTTGTCTACTTGTCTTTCATCCAATTCACCATTTTTGGAGTCTCCTATCTCAATTTTTAAGAAGGGTTATGAGGCTGTAAAAGAACGCTGAAAATAGAGCACAACTGAATAGATCTGAAGCAAAAGAAGTCCAAATACAACCGTCCAAGAGAGAGGGGTGGAAGAATATATCATCAACTTTTTTCAACAAGTCAAAGAAAGCTCTAAATTCTACATCCCTAAGACCTATTTTTAACTCCAAATCCAACTAACCCCAAAAGGAGATGTCACAAGAAACTTGGAAAAGAGTTCCTTCTTGTAGATAGAGATGGGGTAAATGTCACGGTAACGGACTTTTAGCAACTAGTCCCCTACCTAGAGGTCTTCCCAAAATAGAATTTTATTCCCCACCCAAGCATCATATCTAATAGATTGTAAGAATGTAGGAAGCAAACCATGGATAGCTTTTCAAGGGGAAGCTAAAGTGGCTTGAGAAGAAAACCCAACATCCCATCCATCAGTCATCATAGCATGTGGGTTGATTATTACTTTGTGGCACGACCTGTTAGATTCTAGAGGTAGCCTCCAAAGCCACTTATCCAGTAAAGTCACCCACTTTACCAAATGATCCATCTCTCTCTCTCTCATAGGAAATCTCTCATGATTTTTACACCTTCTCCATGTAAGATATCCCACCTTGTGAAAATCCTCAATAGACAACTTAACAGATTGAAAGCACTCCAGAAAATTGGTCCCATCCAATTTCAGTGTTTATTTGAACATTGGAACTATCATCAATCCTTACATAACCACTGGAGGAAGCATTCATGCCTTTCGAGGGAGTTCGGCTTCAGTCAGGGCAAAGCCGGTTTGAGCACCCTTTACTGCCTTGCATTGAGAATATCTCCATACTTGTATGCTTTATTTTATGAGGAGATATTACCAATGCAAGCGTGGAAATGGCTGTTGGAACGGTGTGGGCACAGCTTTGCCCTGATAGAAGCTGATCTCCTTTCGAGGACTCCAACATCAATAACAGATCAACAAATACAAATGACAGTCTAAAGCACTTTTTAACCACTGTCACTACCAAAAACCCTACGATTGTGGGTTCCAAAACCCTAACATAACATTTTTTCTTTTGAAGTATAAATTGTATTACATATAAAAAAGTTAGTACAGTATGGTCCTTTCTACAAAGAATTTCTGTAATAGAACAGATTGATGAGATAGCATTAAGCTGGTGGTAAAATAGGAAAAAGGAAAAACTTCAGAATAATCACAGATCCTTAGGAAATCTTAAAACCACTTCTAATGGCTTCAGAAACTTCATATAGATCTAACAAAGTGAATCTTGTGGCTAGATATAACTTCCATCATTTAGACCAACCAAAACAAGCAACTTTGTAAATTTATCTGTTTTTTTTTTGTCATGGAAAATTATAGAAAAATAAGGTATCTACTCCAGCAGCACAAGATAATAATACCAAAAACCATCTCAAATCACAAATTACTGGGTTGAGTGGTTTTTTTCCATTGTCTGCTGCCACCCATATGGCATGTTGACATCAGCAGGCACCTTTGGAAGAGACGATCAAGAAAAAATTCCCTTGGTCTTCTTCTGTTGTTTCTCTGATACCTACCTGTGATTTCTTGGACGTTTTATGAAAGAAAAAGGATGAGAATTAGAAAAGAAGAGGAGTGCAAGAGAGAATTGGCGTGAATAGAGGTGAGAATCAATCTTGAATCTCATGCTCCTATCATTGACTTATATATATTAGGTGATTACAATTAGTGATTACAATTATGATTATTCTCTTAACTGGTGCACCTTAATAAGCAAAATTACAAAGACAAAAATGCCCTTAGGACCATTCTGCCATTTCAATGGTTTAGTTTTTTTTTTTATTTTTAGGCCTAACTGCTGCAATCTGTTTTAGATGCTTACACCAGTAATACTTTTGATTTGTTTGTGTGAACAGGAAAGACTAAAGGAACTTCCTGGGGCAACCCTAACAGGTCCTGATGCACCTTTATACCCTGGAAGTGATGGTCAATTATCAACACTCCCAGGATTAGAGTATGATCAACAACATCAGCATCCTGATGCCCAGGTTTGATATTGTTCTCTTTAAAAACTTTCTTGTTAGGTCAAATTGTATCTATTGTTTATTGATTTTCTCAAACCAGGGCTCAGAATTCCTCCCTAGCTTCCGGAATGCAGTTCAGGATGGTTTTGGAGATGCATGGAATGAAATTCATCGTCCTCAGGTTCCTCATGTTGAAGGAAGTGAAGGTCAACCATACTTTGCGGAGTTTGAAAATATTTATGATCATGGAGTTAATTCTCAGATGCAACGTGCTTGGGATGGTAAGGCCAAAAAGTTATGTCTGTTTGGTTGAGGATGAGGATCAATTTTCAATTGATTTGCCTTTTTTAGTTATTGAATGAATTATCTGAGAGGCTTCAAGTTACCGTTTCCAATTGAAAAAAAAGAATTATCTGAGAGGGGACTATTGGTTGGATATAAATTTGCTAAGAGCTGCAGTGCTGCACAATGGATGTGTAACCCAAGGGTCAAGTTGATTCAGGATTTGGATTGTTCATTTCTGAGTTCAAAAATCATGTTCAGTTATCAGATTTTCTTTTTCTAATCTTTTCTGTCATATTCATTTAATTTTTGCAGTTTACAGAACATGAATTATTGATAATACTTGTCTGAGTTCCAATCATCTTTGGTTGAATCAATGTGTTTTTGAATCAATTCATCAAGTTTTTAAAACTAGTTGATATGGACAACTTCTTATTTATGATTAATAGCACACTGTTTTCAGATGTTTGGAGCTGATCCCTGTGGTTTTACATATTCAATTCACATTTTCAGGGCCACCACAAAGAGTTCTGTCAAGTTTTTTGCACTCCTTTGTGGACAGTAGCCGAGCTGGTATTCCTTTTCGTCCTGCACCTCTTCCAGTTTTGGGATTGTCAGAAGGTGACAAGCAATGTATACGTGATCGTAGCAGCATAATGGCACGGCACTTCTTTGCAGATAAGAGTGAAGATTTTATAAATTCACAGGTTCACTGGTCAGGCCTCAATTATTAATGTTCATTGAGTGTTGTTTGCTAACATAAATGGGCAATTGATAACTTGACCAAGTTGTATTGCTTTTCCCTCAGTTCTATAATCTAAACTCGAAAGTGAAGTTAATCCTTTTTGATCTGTAGGTTTTCTTTGATAGTGAAGATAAAATTCATTAAAGAAAAATAAATAATACAAGAACAGGTGATAAGAAATTACCGACCAAGATAAAGAAAATAGACACACCCCATCAACAGCGCCAGTCCCAAAAACTGAATTGAAATGCAACATTCTAACAAAACATGTAGTGAGAGTGACACAATCTTGTTGACAGATGTTATTGTATGTACTGTACACAGATTTAGTGCCCGCAGGGGTATTTTTCTAATTTCTATACCACGTGTTGTACGGCCAGTATAGTATAAATACAAATGCTTCACTCGCATGAAGCAAGTTCTTGAGGCATTAAGTCCGCCAGCCTCTTCTCTCTTCTTCCTTCTTCTCTTCATCTTCTTTCTCTTGCTCAACATGGTATCAGAGTGGAACCGTCCAGGCCTGGAAAACAATCAGCTGAGGTCACTATATTCCTGATGTTCGAAGGCAAGGAAGAGAAATCATTCTCTAGTGCTGTGGTTAGTCTCCAATGCCGAGTAGAATCAGCTTGACCGTTCAACTTCCTAGCGTAGAAAAGGGTTCTGCTACGAAGTTTTTTTTTTTTT